TGTATGGCTCTAAATTGCTGAATATATATGAAACAGTAAAAGAGTTCTATCTCAAAAAAAAGAAAGGAATTCTATCTTGAAGCCTGGTAATAGTTGATAATTGAGAAGTAAAGTTCTTGGAGGAAGTAGATAGACATTTGAAAGAATATTGTATTTTGTTATATCTGGTAAGCATAGATAGGATATTAGAAAGTTGAAATAAGTCACATTACTCCATTTTATAAAATATGTAATCAGCTGGGTGCGCTTGTAATCCTAGCACTTTGGGAGGCCAAAGTGAGCAGATCATGAGGTCAGGAGTTTGAGAACAGCCTGGCCAATATGGTGAAACCAAGTCTTTACTAAAAATAAAAAAATTAGCTGGTGTGGTGATATGCACCTGTAGTCCCAGCTACTTGGGAGGCTGAGGCAGAAGAATCACTTGATCCTGGGAGTCAGAGGCTACAGTGAGCCAAGATGGCACCACTGCACTCCAGCCTGGGAGACACAGCGAGACTCCATCTCAAAAAAAAAAAAAAAAAAAAAAGTGGAATGATTTTGTGCTGGCTGCTATAGGTTTATATACTCAACATTCTTTCTTGTTCAGAGTTTCTAGGGGAAACCAGAAACCACGATTTTTGTACTCCCGTTATTTCCTTGGTGTTCATTTCACTGTGTTTCTATAAGGAAGAGTTTGACTATAATTAGACTGTTTATAAATGGCCCTCATATGAGCAACTTGATCAAATGTTAAACCACTAGCAGAGTTGGCCTATATTTTAAAGGCCATCAAGGCATATATTACTCCTGTTCATGATTGTGCACGCAGCTAAAAAGCTGTGTTTGTTGAGTACCAACTTGGTATAGAGCCTTCTTCCAAGTATATTAAAGGGTATTAAAAGGAATACAAGATATGGACCTTGACCCTTAGTGAGATGTTTGTGTGAACTGTGGAGCCAGACTGCTTGATTCAAGTTCCAAATTCATTGCTCCCTAGCTGTGTGATTTTGGACAAGATATTTACCTTTTTGTGTTCCATTTTCCTCATCTGAAAAAAGAAATAAGGATATGTCATAAAGTTGTGGGGTGTCTTAAATGATACTAATACATGTCAAGCATTTTGAACTGTTCCCCACACATAGGAAGCATTCATTAGGTTTTAGCTGCTATGATAATTGCTGTAACAGGATCAAGGTAGTATGTAATAAATTCCACAGTCATTGATAAAAACAAATCTAAGCCACTAGGCAGGGAGGCTCACACCTGTAATCCCAATACTTTGAGAGGTGGAGGTGGGTGGATCACCTGAGGTCAGAAGTTTGAGACCAGCCTGGCCAACATGGTGAAAGCATGTCTCTACTAAAAATACGAAGAATTAGCTGGACAAGGTGGTGGGCAACTGTAATCCCAGCTACTTGGGAGGCTGAGGCAGGAGAATCTCTTGAACCCTGGAGGCAGGAGTTGCAGTGAGCCGAGATCGCACCATTGTACTCTAGCAGGGGCAACAATGGTGAAATTCCATCTAAAAAAAAAAAACAAAAAACAAATCTAAACATCTCAGATCCCTACTTGATATTGGCTTCCTATTCCATATACCATCCTGTCTCTCTGTTATCGTGTCCCCAGCCATCATGAACCAATTTATAGTCCCAGCACTTTGGGAGGCCAAGGTCGGCAGATCCCTTGAAGTCCAGGAGACCAGTTTGGGTGACATGATGAAACCCTGTCCTTACAAAAGATACAGAAATTAGCTGGGTGTAGTGATCTCAGCTGCTCAGGAGGCTGAGGTAGGAGAATCACTTGAGCCCAGGAGGTGGTGGTTGTAGTGAGCAGAGATCATGCCACTGCACTCCAGTCTTTGTGCCAGAGTGAGACCCCATCTCAAAAAAGCAAACCAACAAACAAAACTCCCAGATAGAGCTTTTGTAACTCTTCCTCTCTCTCCTATTCAACATGCTCCCCTCCACCCCTATGCCTGTCTAGATCTATTAACCTCATCTATATTACTTGAATGTTTAGTGGTTGAAGACTTATATGAACAACATTCTCATTTATCCTCTAGGGGTGTTAATGTCCAGTGAATCATTTGTACCTTAGTATTGCAGTCAGATCTGTCTTCATTGGATATATGGTCAGAAATCGGATATATTGGGAAAAAAATTATTGCTTAAGAGAGAAATAAATTTTAAAATGTGGGGTATTTCCTTTCTCAGTAGAGATTTTTCATTGGGGTGTCAGGCAGCATAACATTGATGATGGGAAGAAGGGACAAAGGGACAAGTCATGGGATGTCAAAATTTATTTCATCTCTTTTTAAGTATTAATCCATTCATGTAATTATGGATGAAGCAAATTTGGAGGAGGGGTCAAGCTAGGAGGCTACCTACAATTTATTATACTTTTTGTAAGAAGAGGAATTTTGGGTTCCAAATAATAAACTGCATAAAAGTCCCTTAAATTGTTTTTAGAATGCATCTGCTCTTGTAAATGATGTAAACAGAAATAGCAATTTAAGTTTAGAAGAGATTTTTTTGGCTGAGCATGGTGGTTCACCCCTATAATCCCAGCACTTTGGGAGGCCAAGGTGGGATCACTTGAGGTCAGGAATTCGAGACTAGCCTGACCAACATGACGAAACCCCATCTCTACTAAAAATACAAAAATTAGCCAGGTGTGGTGGCAGGCGCCTGTAATTCCAGCTACTCAGGAGGCTGAGGCAGGAGAATCACTTGGACCTGGGAGGTAGAGGTTGCAGTGAGCCAAGATCATGCCACTGCACTCCAGCCTGGGTGACAGAGTGAGGCTACATCTCAAAACAAACAAACAAAAAGAACCAGATTTTTTTCATTGAGGGTTGTAGTACAGGGGGAGTGAGAAGGAAAAAATAGAGCTTGAGCTGGATAATTCTTTCTAATATTTGAGTAGTGGGAAAGTGAAGAGGTTAAAGGTGTGGAGTGAGGGCAAGTCTGATGCCTGAGGAAAAGTAGAAAATAGGGCCGGGCACGGTGGCTCACGCCTGTAATCCCAGCACTTTGGGAGGCCGAGGCGGGTGGATCACGAGGTCAAGAGATCGAGACCATCCTGCTCAACATGGTGAAACCCCGTCTCTACTAAAAATACAAAAATTAGCTGGGCATGGTGGCACACATCTGTAGTCCCAGCTACTAGGGAGGCTGATGCAGGAGAATTGCTTGAACCCAGGAGGCGGAGGTTGTGGTGAGCCGAGATGGCGCCATTGCACTCCAGCCTGGGTAACAAGAGTGAAACTCCATCTCAAAAAAAAAAAAGAAAAAAAAGAAAAAAAGAAAATAGAAGATGAGAATGGCTTAGTCATATTTCAACTATCCCGCTAAAAAGTCTGAATTCTTTTCCTGTGGAAGAAATCACTGTTTTGTTGTTGTTATTGTTGTCGTTGTTGTTGTTTTTGAGACAGTTTCACTCTGTCACCCAGGCTGGAGCGTAGTAGCACAATCTCAGCTAACTGCAATTTCCATCTCCCAGGCTCAAGCAATTCTCCTGCCTCAGCCTCCCCAGTAGTTGGGACTATAGGTGCTTCCCATCACACCTGGCTAATTTTTGTATTTTTAGTAGAGACAGCGTTTTACCATGTTGGCCAGGCTGGTCTCAAACTCCACTCCTGACCTCAGGTGATTTGCCCATGTCAGCCTCCGAAAGTGCTAGAATTACAAGCATGAGCCACCACACCCGGCCAGAAATCGTTTTATTTAATGCTTACTGTCTTACACTGTAAATGTAACCCCAAATTATCTTCCTTTTTCAGTATAAGCTACTTCTGTGACATTTCATGCTTTTATTTATTTATTTACTTATTTATTTTGAGACAGAATCTTGCTCTGTCACCCAGGCTGGAGGTCAGTGGCGTGATCTCAGTTCACTGCAACCTCTGCCCCCCAGGTTCAAGTGATTGTCCTGTCTCAGCCTCCTGAGCAGCTGGGATTACAGGCATGAGCTATCATGCCCGGCTAATTTTTTTGTATTTTTAGTAGAGATGGGGTTTTGCCATGTTGGCCAGGCTGGTCTGAAACTCCTGACCTAAAACCATCCTCCTGCTTTGGCCTCCCAAAGTGCTGGATTACAAGTGTGAGCTACCACACCTGGCCTGTCACACTTTTAAAAAATGGATTAAGTTCTAAATCATTTTTAAAAATAGAACCTGAGGTTTCAAATTTGAGAAACTTTCCACTCTGAAAATCATTTTACATGACGAGATCTTTTAGTGATACATGATACCACAGTCTAGCTCTATTAAACATTGTAACAGTACATTCTGTAGGCATGGAGTTTTGAAGAGGAAGAAGGCCTTTAATGCACTGTATTATTAAGCATGGCCTGAGGGGTACCCAGTGCGTTAATCTTATTTTACTTTTGCAATTCATTTTGTAGATGAAAGAGATATTACATTCCCCCATCTGTAATATTGAGTGGAAAGTAAATGGAGACAATAAGAGAAGCTTTACTGAAAATTTTACAGAAACACGTTCTGTAAAGTAACAGCTAGTTGTATATAAAATTTCTATACATTTTTCAGGGGAATCCATGAAGAGAGTGTGTATGTGTGTGTTTGAGGGGAATGTGTGTGTCCTAAGAAATTCAGTGACCACTGCATGGTAAGCTTTTAGTTATTTAGAACGAATATATTTTTTTTCTTATCTGGTGGCAAGATAAAGTACAAATGAAGATTTATAAATTAGTTTTAAAATACTTTGATATAGATAATAGTCTCCAATATAAATCCTCATAAGACTTCCGAAACATCCATTGTATCTCTTCCAGTGGCTGCCACATCCAGTTAAATTTCTTTTTAATATTGTGATTTAGTTTGTATTTCATAAAGTTTTTTTTTAAGTATAATGTTTGTAGTCAAGTTGAACAGTATCTTCATATCAATTAAATAATTCCAAGAATACATAGAAAAGCTTTGTGTGAATATATTTTTTTTAATTTCTAAATTCACCATTTTGATACAAATACCCATGGTTTTCTTCTATGTTTACATGCAGCCAGGAGCTATGGGCGGAGACGAGGTAAATTTTTTTTTTTTTTAATGAGATCTTTTGCTTGCCAAATTGTGAGTAAATATGAGTGTGTTTATGTGTGTGTGTATTTATACCTGTGTGTGTGTGTAAACCAATAATTATTATATGGTGTGATGTTCTAGCTTAATTATTTTAGTAAAATAATTTATCATTTTTATTACAATTACTTTTTGTTGTTGGTAATTTGTTCTTTTAATTCTAAAAAAGACATGGCAAAGACTTTCTACTTAGAAGATTTTTGTTGTATGGCTTATTGTGAATAAAGATGAGGAAATAAAGGCCAAGCATATGTATTTTTCTGTCCTATATTCATTGTGTTCTTTTCATACAACTTAGAAGGCAGAACTTGGGTTTTGAAAGGCAATTCTTGATCTTATTAGGTTGTCTGATGAATTTTTTCTGTTACGTCCAGAGGCAGATTTACTCCGAAGGTAAATGAAGCTTAAGCTTCAGGACCTCTTACTTGCTTGAACCCATTCCAAAGTCTACCTAATTTGTGTGTGTGTGTGTGTGTGTGTGTGTGTGTGTGTGTGTGTGTGTGTTTTTTAAGACAGAGTTTCACTCTTGTTACCCACCAGGCTAAAGTGCAATGGTGCCATCTCAGCTCACCACAACCTCTGCCTCCTAGATTCAAGCGATTCTCCTGCCTCTGTCTCCCAAGTAGCAGGGATTATGGGCATGTGCCACCACCCCCAGCTAATTTTGTATTTTTAGTAGAGATGGGGTTTCTCCATGTTGGTCGTGCTGATCTCAAACTCCTGACCTCAGGTGATCCACCTGCCCCGGCTTCCCGAATTGCTGGGATTACAGGCATGAGCCACCGTGCCCAGCTGTGTTCTTTTTCTTAAAGAGGGATCCCAAAATAAGCTTTGATCCCCATAAAACCTTCATTCTCAAAAGAAAAAGTAAAAGAAAAAGAAAAAAAGAAAATCTTCATTCTCTCCTGGTCTTACCCAAACAAAATAATACAACTTTCATTTGTGTAATGCTGTAACTGTTCTAAAGCATTTCCCATATCTGTAGTTTTTCAAATAATTTTGCAAAGTAGCTAGGAGAAGTCGGATGTAGTGAAAAGCATATGGGACTTAGGGTCAGACACGTAGGTTGTAATCATTGCCTTATCATTTAGACTTGCTATGCTCATCTATAAATTATGAGGTAATCAAACCAGTCTTGTCCTACTTCAGAGTATTAGTGGAGTTCTAGTTTAAAAAAAAAAAAAGGAAATGAAAACCTATCCACATAAATTAAAAATATTCCACAAATATAAGTTACTTTCGTGCTTATTTGCAGAAGCTGAGGGAAAAAAAGTAATTTAGTTGTTGTGTGACCAAGTTAAAGTCGGAGTCAAGATCAGAATCTGTGTCTTTTGGCTCTTTATCTGCTAATGTTTACCATTCATTAGCTGTCTCTGACTTTGTAGTTGAGTTACGAAGAGAAGATAATGATGCTAAACTCATAGTATTTTATTATTTAAAAAAATTAAAAATATTATCTGCCTATGCTTACCCAACCAATGTTTTCATCATTTATTCCATAGCAAATGTTTGTTGAATGAGTGAATATTGGCAGAACCTAATATGTATGTATGGCGAATCATATAGTCGCTTTTGCTTTTTATCATCATTGAATGGAAAAACATTTATGTAAATGATTATTTTCTATCCATGGAAATGAATATCATTAAATGTTATTGCCTTTTTTTTTTAATTCTAAAAAGTTAAAGCCTAGAAATAATGTTGTTAAGGAATATTTTGTACCATACTTTTTTCATGTTGCTAGAAAAATGATCACTGTCAGGAAAGAATAGGAAATGGACTATTTTATATGGAAAATAGATACCATCTGGAGAATAGACAGCAGGGACTCGCTTTTCCTCTTCTCACGTACTAATCAGTCACCAAATCTTGTCAAGATTTTCCCTCTAGTTTTGTCAGGCCTTGTCCTTCTCATTTCTACTGTTTTTATTTCTCCTGTTCCATTTCTACAGCCTCATCTTTCTGAAATACCACTTTGTCTGTGTCACCCCCATTCTCAATTCAGGATCTCCATGATCTGGCCTCTGCCTCTTTCACCAACCTCATTATCTTCCTTTTTCCCATGTTATCTTTCCTTGACCAGTCTGTTTGCTTTCCCACTCTCTGGCCATACAGGTCACTCTTCTTGTCACCTACTTATCTAAGGTCTATCCTTATTTTACTAGTTCAAGCCTTACCTCTGATTCTGCTGTCTTGCATTCTTCCAGTCTTTTCTGAATGCCTTGATTCTTCAGCTGGGGTAAGTTCTTTAAGTACAGCTGTCTCTAGTACCTAACACTGGATCCTATGTATACTTAGCCCTTATTAAGTGATTATTGATAAAGATTAATTGGAAACAACACCATATATTTATGCAGAGCACAGTTTGGCATCTTATTTTTTAAATTATTTTTATAAATAATAACATTAATACTATATATCAAGAATATAAAGTCACCTATAGTTTCTAAGCTTCTGAAAAAAATACTCTTCCTTCGTTCATGTTACTTTCTCCATATCTATTTGTAAAGTTGACTTTATTATTCTCAGAAGTCACGATCTTAGTATGAGGTGCTTCAATAAACATTTCCTAGAATGGCTTGGTCCCTGCTCTTGTTCTGCAGTTTGATAGCTGTAGGTGAAGAAGAAAATGATGAAGGGGCGGGGGAGGGAAGAAAGAAAGGAAGAAAGAGAGAAAGAAGTGCAAATGCTAAAAGACTGAATGTTGGCTTTCTGAAACTAAAAAAGGACAGAAAATATTTGTCCATGTTTTCAATAACTCTTTCATTCCCAAAGCTGAAAAAGAAGTCATCTTTTTAAAATGTAATGATATAACCATATGGGATAAGGCATGTCTAGATCTCATATCTAGAACTCTTATGCTCTGAGATGTATTCATTTGAACCAACGCTGCATGGTATACTTCTGATGAACTGGCAGCCTTCCTTATGCTCATTTATTCATGTGATCAGGGATTAAATCAATGCTTGATCCCTTTTCTCTAATTTACATTTAGACTTTCTCAAAAAGCCTAAAAATTAGGCCTGCTGATGTATGTTACCTCCCTCTACCTATGAATAAGAATAGAACTGGAGCTATAAATTATGTTCTGTGTGTTACATAAACATGTTAGTAAATTTTTTTTTCTTTTTTTCTTTTTTCTTTTCTTTTTTTTTTTTTTTTACAGACAGAGTCTCACTCTGTTGCCCAGGCTGGAGTGCAGTGGCATAATCTTGGCTCACTGTAACCTCCACCTCATGGGTTCAAGTGATTCTCCTGCCTCAGCCTTCCAAGCAGCTGGGACTACAAGCATGTACTGCCATACCTGGCTAATTTTTGTATTTTTGGTAGACATGGGGTTTCACCATGTTGGCTAGGCTGGTCTTGAACTCCTGGTCTCAGGCCATCCACCCATCTCCCAAAGTACTGGGATTATAGGCATGAGCCACCATGCCTGGCTACATCAGTAAATTTTCTAGGAGCAGAAATAAAGTGAATATAATATATGTGAAAGTTTTGAGTTCTGTTAGCACAAATTTGGCAGTGGACTTTTACACCTCTCCTGATAAGTGTGGAAAAGTTTCCTGCGATAAGTAGCATTTCAAGACCTATTTGGATAATGGAAAAGGAATGGGAAGTAAGACTTTCTAGTATGTTTCTCCTTAGAAGAAAGTTTAAAGATGAGATTACCATGACCAGATGCTTGGAGTATACATCTCTGAGTGTATCCTGTGGGGCCAGCTGGAGAGGAGAAGCTGGCAGTAAGACAGTCTATGCTGCCTGAATGAATGTTTTTGAAACAGAGGGTGAAACTCTTGGGCACAGTCAGGCTTTAGAAAAAGGGTTTTATGATACGAGTAATGAAAGCAGGAGATAATTTGAACATCAGCTCAAGGCTTGGATGGGGATATTGAAGGTGGACTCTGCAAACCAAGTACTTCTAGTAATATTGTTGAAGCAGTAATAATTAGAAATGAGAAGGCTGGGCGTGGTGGCTCACGCCTGTAATCCCAGCACTTTGGGAGGCCGAGGCGGGTGGATCACGAGGTCGAGAGATTGAGACCATCCTGGTCAACATTGTGAAACCCCGTCTCTACCAAAAATACAAAAAAAATTAGCTGGGCATGGTGGTGCGTGCCTGTAATCCCTGCTACTCAGGAGGCTGAGGCAGGAGAATTGCCTGAACCCGGGAGGCGGAGGTTGCGGTGAGCCGAGATCGCGCCATTGCACTCCAGCCTGGGTAACAAGAGCAAAACTCCGTCTCAAAAAAAAAAAAAAAAAAAAAAGAGAAGAATTAGATGTGAAAGAATAAGATTTGAAAATAAATATCAATTACATATAGAGTTTAAAAATACCCAATTATATTTCCCATTTATATCCATTTTTTATTTTGTTTCAGTGGACAAACCTTGATTTTATTTGTGGAATAAGACTCACACCAAAGAATCTTGCCATTATTCTTTGGGAGTATTCTGCCTTTGATAAGCTTTAACATGTGTCTTCCTAACAACTGCAACCCCTGTTAGAAACTAGTCTATCAGCTAGTATCATTTAAGATTTTTGCCTACACATTTAATATATACTGTGTTTTTCATTTCACATGAGAATGAGTTTTTATGGTCTCCATGAAACCCTTGCCCATAAGTAGACATGTTGGCTATGCCGGTATTTTTGGTGTTTAACGGAATTTTCTAGTTATAGAGCAGTAAGGAGAATATGAAAGGTCTTTTTAACAATGCAAATGAGAAAATATAACTAGCCTACCAGGTAGTGGCATTTAGGGTTTTTGCCTACACATTTAATATATACTGTGCTTTTCATTTCACACGAGTATGAGTTGCTATGGTCTCCATGAAACTCTTGTCCATAAGTAGACATGTTGGCTATGCCAGTATTTTTGTTTTTGTTTTTGTTTTTTGAGGTGGAGTCTTGCTCCATCACCCAGGCTTGAGTACAGTGGTGCGATCTCTG